GGTACCCCGGCGGCTCCAGAGCCCGCCGCGCTGCCCGCCCGCCCGGGAGGGCCCCGCAGCGCCCGCGGGAGACCTGGCCCTTCGCCCTGCCCCTCTGGCTGCTGCCGGTCGGAAAGCAACCGCTCTCCGGAACTAGGAGCTGGTTCTGATCACTTAAACGTGACCGCGCAGCCTCTGCCGGCGCGGCGGGGAAAGTTTCCAAAGGGTGTTTAAAAAATACTTCGTCTTCTGCCAGCGCTGAGTTTCAGTCCTTAGAAAACAAGGAGAGGTCCACGGCACCGATTCTGTGTGGTGTTTGTTTTTTCCTGTCGTGAAATGTGTCAGTTGGGAAAAAAGCTTCCTCCCCACCATGTCACAGAGCCCAGCATTTAGTAGATGCTGTTCTGGGAGGTGTATTCTCCTTACTGGTTTTTCTGCTGTTTATGAGAAGAACTTGTAGTTATTCGTATTCTTGTTTTGGTGTGTTTTTTTCAGCATCCAGAATAGTGAAGTCACGAGAGATGTGCTTTCTTCCTGCAGAGGCGTGATGCCACAGAAGTAGTGTCTGCATTCCTGTGATGAGGATATATACAATATTTACTTTGAAAGGACAGAATTTCTCTGGGTATGCTGTCTTTATGAATTGATCAGTCACAAGTGTGTTTTGCATGAAGCATGCTTTTGTCCCAAATACATGGGAACGTCAAGTTAATACGATCCAAGAGAAGAAATGTTTCAAGGGGAAAGCCCTGAAATAAGAGAGAAATTGACTGCACTGATAAAAATACTTGTGCGTCAGTTGCCAAATCTTGTGCATTCTTGTATGTTACTACATTAGCTGAGCAGGTCAGTTGACTAAAATGAGATAGATGGCTGTTCTTTCAGAAAATTAGAAATACTCTTTGTTCTTTCTTGTTCATGATCTACTGTAATTACTGTGCTGTTCTTTTAGTTGAGTTCTACTATTAAAAAAGGAAAATCACATGATATTCCAGGAACAGAGAGGAATGTGTATTTGTCTAGTAGTTCTTCTCTGTGGAATTAGTGCCAAATTTGTTAGTAATCTCAAGGTCTTGACATTTGAATACAAAATTCACAAGACAGTACTTGCACACAAGCTCATCAACTAGGAGCAAAGTTGTCAAACTGCTAATGTTGGAAAATCTAGTGCCCTGTGTTACTCCTAGAATCAGAATCCAGGCTGGAATAAGCAGTTTAATGTTACTGGTTATGAGATAAGAGGAGTTTGTTTTGTGGGGGTCTTCTGTAACCTCAGATGTGTGTAGAGGATATGATTAGTTAGGTGTCTGGAATTCTTGGACACTGCTACTAACTGAGCTGTCGGTTATTGTGAAATATTTTACACACGAAGGTTGTAAAATGTGACTTTGCTTATGAAGTAATTTCCTGGTTGAATTTTCCTGTACTTTCTGTATTTGTAATGTAAGTACATCTCAAAAATACGAGGCAGGCTTTTCACATGGTTGTTTCTTTTGTTTTGGTTTGGTTTTTTTAGGGGAAAGACAAAATGAACCCTTTCTTTTTTCTGGGTTTTGGACATTCTCATCTAGTCTACTCCTGGAATAGAGGTGTGCCTTTCAACTCAACAAATGAGACGTACTGCTACAGCACTGCCCGTGGCAGCACAGTGCTCCAAGGAGTAACTTTTGGTGGAATCCCAACTGTCCTGCTGCTTGATGTAACCTGCTTTTTTGTAAGCCCACTTTTTCTTTCTTGTTTTGAAAATCATTGTGGTGTTCCCAAAGGTTAGATTGTTCAGAATTATCTTTATTTATCAGGTAGGGATTTGTTTTTGAGAATATTTAGAATAAGAAATATCTTAAGGCCATCCTAGGAACATAAAAATGCTTTTCAATTATTGATAGAAGTTACCATACATGTGGGGTAAAAGTGTCACTGTGTGTTGGATGTGCAGCATTGCAGGGCCTGTATGTGGAGTCATGGTGGGCTTTGCAGTGGGATTAGTTGCTCAAAAAAAATGGGATTAGACTCCAAAACTGGAGCTGATCTAGAGGCCTTAGACTTCAATAAAACTTAAGTTTATTTCTGCATGTTTGATCTAACCAGTTTTTAGCCACCAGTAAAAGAGCTGTAGATCTGAAATTGGCCAGATAAGTGAGGTTTCTGATGGTAAAATGAGACTTCAGGGATCACATAGTTCTTGAGTTCCTGAAAGCTACTGTAGAGAAAATTAAAGCTACTTGTGTACGGTCTGAGCTGGTAAGAACATAGAGGATGTTCCTAAAAGTTGTGTAGGGGCATTCTCTACTGTTGATACAGTGTATGCAGCATGCTACCATAAATCCATTTTATGAGGATGTATGGTATTTACTGCAATGTAGAAGGCTTCTTGCTTTTTCAAGCAATTAATTCAGTTTTTGCAATTCATTTAGCAGTTCCTGCATTCCTATGTTCATAATGTGTTTACTGCAAATCCTTTTAGTAATTGTCAGTTGATGCGTTTATGATTATTCTTTCTAGGCTAGTTTCCTAAGAAAGTGAGTTTTGTGTTTTGCTTTCTCTTACCAGTTTTGTCTGGCAGTTCCTCCTAATAACCATAGAATATGTTAGCCAATCTCAGCCGAGGTTGTCATAGAGTCTGGAGAACTTTCCTGCTTGCATGAAGTTGAATGGCCAGATGAAGGAGGAAGTTCTAAATTAATATTCCCTGTTGGAAGGAAGGCTCTTAAAATGAATTAAACCTACTTATGAAATGTGGAAATTAGCAGTGTAATCTTGACATGTATCACATGTATCCTGATTGGCCAGTCAGTATTTGCATAGATCATTGTAAGTTACATCACTAGCGCCACTTTCTAGCCAAACAGGTATGGGATGAAGGAGGGGCTAAGAGGTGAGGGTGTATGCTACATATACATAGAAAACAGGTCTTGTTACTTCTTCATTGCTTCGAACAGAACAACTTGTTTCTTAAAAAAAAAAAAAGGCAAAAAAAAAAGGCATTTATGAAATGCATAGTGTTTAAGACTTTTTTTTCCAGTGTTCTTAGTCTCTTTCAAAAAGTGAAAATAGAAGGGGAGATAAATATATTGCAGAGATCAATTATGTTTCTGGACTTTACGAGCTGTAATAATAATATATTACTTTTACTGAGGATAAAAATTCTTATACTTGAGAAAATAGTTGAGCCCCATACAGCCTGTTGATATCAATGCTTAAAAAAATTTTAGAAATAAAATTGCAAGTCATCCATTGTAGTTCTGGTTATTAAGTAGTGAATAATAGTGAAAGTGTGTTTATAATTTTGACTTTCTCTGAAGTACTGCTTGCTACTTTTCCTGTCACAAGCCTTAATAGGCTTGCAGTTCAGATGTACTTTTGCATCCAGTTCTTGTGCTTTTTAAGCTGGCACAGGAAGGCAGGTGTTCTGCTGCTGTGGTCCCAAACAGGTTGGTTTGTAGCATCGGTAGCATTTCGTTTGATTATAATATGTCAGTTGGTTTAGGAGCTAGAACAGCATTTTTGGGGAGTTTCTGTGCATCTAAGAAGTACTATGGAAGTAGAAAAATAAACATTCAGATTTCTCTGTTTTTATTTTCTAGATTTTGATATTACTGTTTTCCATTATAAGAAAGAGATTCTGGGACTATGGTCGTGTTGCTCTGGTATCAGAAGTTGAAAGGTAAAAAAGATATGAAATCAGACTGATTTGTTGCAAGCAGTAAGGGAATGTAAAAGTAGGTAAATATTAGGGCTTAAATTAAGTTAATTTGTATCAGTTAAATAGGCTTGCAATAACATGCATGTATTTGTTAAAAACATCCTCTTTGTGTGAAATATGTCCCACTTGCAGGATTACTCTTTGCAGTTTCAGCAATAAAGTTGTGTTTGTCACTGTCACAAGTTTCATGCTACAGTTCTGGGTTAAGGTAGTGGAGGTAAGAATATAAGCTGCTTGTCTGCTGACATGTTGCTTACCTACAGGCTGATGTTTACAGTGTCTTTCTGCAAGAGAAGGATGTTTAAACATTTTGTTTATCTGGGCGCAACCCAGTGTCTTCCCAGAGCTTTCTATGCAGCCTGTGCTATAGTATTTTGGAAGGATTTAAAAGTAAAATCATTGCAAGTTTTTGAAATTTTTCAGTGCTTTGTAGTAATACTACAATTGAGCTTCTAACTTTTTATTATATATATTTTTTTAATATTGATGTCTTGGGATGTTTAAAAGGTAGTTGTCTATTTATTACATGGGTAATCTGTAACAGCAAGCCTCTTCTTGGTGTAACTAAGTTGAGGTAAACTTACAACTAAGCAACAGCAAAGGACTCAAAGTGTATTTTTAGGTGTAATCCATGCAAAATTTTGAAAAGTGGATGGTAAAAAAGGAAAAATAAAATAAAAAATTGGTAACTGAGGCAGCATAGCTCAGGCAGCAAGAATGAAGCTCTGGTATAGGCTTCCATGTGGGCTGTAGAAGTCTTCATGGGACAAACAGCTTCTTGAGCAGTCAGATGCTGAGAAGCCTATCTTTTTGTCCCTGTTGGATTGTGACCTGAGCCAGCTAGGTAAAAATTATGATTCATACACCTATAAATGCTCCCCAGTTTTACATCTATTGTCCTGTAATTGTCAGCACATGGCTGTTGCAACACTTCTTTTTAGCAACACAGTTAAAACAGGTACTTTTCTGTGATTAAGGGCTACAGAGTCTCTACATGTTTCTAAACTTGCTACAGGACTGAGTATGTGCGAGGAGGTGGTCCTGCAGGTGAGGGATTTCATTGTGAGGAGAAATTCTGGGTAGTGGCTGTAGGATGAAGGAAGAGAGATGGAGGGGAAGAGGGGTTATATTCTAATGTGGAATATCTGAACAGGAAGCTACCTTGCAACTCTGATACTCACTAGGCCTCCAAACCTGCATTGCAGTCTCTTATATGACTGTGGTTTAATACCCAAATATAACATTGTTCTCTTTCTAGCATAGTTAAGTGCTCTCGCTCAGAAGCTCACATATTCAACATGACACAGAGCATAAGTTTCTGCAATTGAGCATATGCTACAAGGTGAAAGGCACAGCTTTCATAAGTGAAAAAGTGGTTTTGTACTGCTTCCCTTACTTACATCAGAGTTGTTATAGTTGAAGTAATTCTGTGAAATTCCAGCATCTGTTATTAAAGATACTTAAAAACATTGTTTAATATATTTTAGTGAGTCAAGATACAACCGATTGTCAACATCTTCATCAATACCTGAAGATCTTGAATATGATAGGGTAAGTATTCTCAAGTTTTTATTTTTTCTTTTTAATGTAAACTATTAAATGGAATCTGTTTTTATTTGCCATTCCACCTGGCCCAATGAACCAGTAATTAAAACTGGAAGACCATCTTTATGCAAAAAATAGATATGCATTGTTTATTTTGTTTTTATAGAATAGAACATACATTTGGACATATATAAATTTAAGAAGCCCAAACAATAAACATGCAAGTAATTAAAAAAACCCTTAACTACCCTCTGAAAACAGACAGATAAAGTACCTTGTAAAAAATATGTAGAGTGAGGTATTTTTCTTTGTTTCTAAATTATTTCAGAGCAAAAAACTGCTAGCTTTTTTTAGCTAAGAGATTGATTTAAAATAAACGTTTATCTTGATTGTACAGATTGCAGACTATTTTCATATATCAGCTTTCTTTTTTATAGGGGTTTTGTTCTTGGATGACAGCTGCTTTTCGGATGCAGTAAGTATATTAAATAGAAATAGAGAGCTGTGTTTTGCTTTGCTCTTTTTTTTTTTTTTAATTAAAAAAGGGATTTGCATTCACAAATATATATCTTTTTTCCTTGAGTAGGTAGAATTTAATACAAACAGTGATACAAATGCCTCTGGTGGGGTTGAAAAAGAATACGGAAACAAGATCAGCTTATGGGGATACTACTTCAGGATACAGTCATCTTTCTTTTGGTGGCCCAGGGACTTCCTGGTTTTGGGACAGTGTGTGAATCTATGGCAGTTATGTGAATTCTGAGCTAATAACTAGGCCCTAGGCTTTTACCCGTCAAAGAGTACTGTGTGAGCATTCCCGTGTTTGAAGCTAGTAAGGCCCCAGGCAGGAAACAGGGTTTACCTGGAGGGATTTCTATGGAAAACTGGTGATTTAGTTGAAGCTGAAGCTGACTAATTAGGAAAAGCCCATCCCACTGTTTTCTAGAAACTAAGCGTTAGATGCAAGATGTTTGTTCTTTTTATCTTTTGGGGCTTAGTAAATAACGAGTTTTAAAACTCAATTTCTGCCTTGGGTACGTTGAAACAAAGTGCCAGGTGAGAGTCTGTCTTTCTACATTTTTGCTAGTTCAGTTTCTTCCTTTTCCAAGAAGTCATATTTGAATGATCTGTCCTGCTGACAATGGATATATATGAGAGTTCATTCCAATATCTTAATTTGATGTCATAAGAATAAGGTGATTCTGTTGTAATTTTCCTCATGGGGAGACTTTACAGAGATGAGCGAACACTGTCACAGTGTGATCTTGAAGTTTTAGAGTAAGGCTTAACAACTTCTGACTGTCGTAAAGCATGAGGTCACAGCAAGATGACTTTGTCCTCTTATGTTCAGAAAAAAGAACCTTGGGTATATGTTTGCTTTTTAGATTGCTTGTTTCCATCTTAAATTCCTTCATGTTAATTTTTGTATGTTGGTACTGCACAAGAGAAAAAAATATACTTTCGGATCTTAAATTTATGCATAAAAGAACAAAACTGTGTTGAAAGCAGGTAGGGACTGATAGAGGTGTCATTGGGTAGACTGAGGAATTAGTGCATATTCAAAAAACCACCCCCCAAAGCCCCAAGGATATTAAGTAGACTGACCATGTGCTTTTCTGTCTGTTTTGCAGCGATGATGAGATCCATGAGAGATGTGGTGAAGATGCCATACATTATCTTGCCTTCCAGCGTCACATCATCTGTTTGTTGATTGCTGTCAGCATTTTGTCTGTGTGTGTCATATTGCCTGTCAACCTATCTGGGGATCTACTTGGTAAAAATTTATTTTGCATTCTGAGAAGAATTTAGTTTTGTATCACCACGAAAGATTATATAATTCTTAGAATTTTGGTAAACTTTGTGAGGTTCCTCCTCTTCCCCTAGTCTGATGTGTGTGTCGTTTTGTGTGAAATTTATATAAGAGTAGAGAGTTCTTTAAACATCTGGCAAAGACTGTTGTCAGAAGCAAGATGGCAGACTACAGGCAGACACAGACAGCTAGACCTAGAAGTCTCAAGGCAGGATTAACTTGACCTATGCCCTCTTAACTGGTGTTTGTCTAGACACTCTTTATTATTTGTATCAGTGTTGATTGCCAATGGCAACTGTCTTCACAGCTGAGAAATCTTTTTCTAGTGTCTGGTCTGATCTCTTTTGCAGCAATTTAAGATCACTGGAAAGAATAAATTATTATTTTCCTCTTTGCAATATCCTTTTAGCTGCTTGAGGATTATTGTTCATCTGTGCATTTTCCTCTTTTTGATACACCAGACCAGCTAATTTCGTCATTAATGAGAATTTTTTTTCCATTTGGCTGATCATAAATTCATTTGTTTGTTTTGTTTTATTTTTAAATCTAGCTAGGCTGTCTCCTTTTGTTCCCTTCTGTCTCAGTTTGTGGCTCAAAGCCGGACAAATATTCTCATTAAGACTTTGAGCTGACTAGGCAAAAAATTATTTCATGTTTCTCACAGTCTAGTCCTCATCATGTCTGCCAGTATTACACCTACCTCTTTCCATTATTAACTCCCACTCAGAAATACACTAAATGTGCCCTCTAGTCTGCCATTCAGGTTGCTAGTGAGAATGTTGTGGGACAAAACTCTCTTAAACTCTGTTTAAGCATTCTTCCATATTTTATACTAAGCACTTATAGCCATTTTATACCTGGATTTGTATCAGGTATTTTTATCTGTCTTGTCAAGATCCTGTTTACGGAGTTATTCACCAAAATGATCAACAGTGAATGAGGATGCAAAAAAAGCAATTTGTTTGGTTTTCTCAGGAGCTCTCAGCTGCTCTGTTTCATTTTGCTTGTTCTTGTGCCATAACAAATGCTTCTTATTTTGTGTACTGGCCCTGCTGATCTTTGTTCCTGTAATTTATTCTATTCAATTTTCCTTAGTAGTGTGGCCTAGTTTTTGTCTTCAGCTTATTCCTACCTGTGTCTAAATATTTTTAACAGCATTGAAAGAAAGATATCAACATTTTAAAAAAACAGAATAAAAAGTGAGTTTCTGATAGTTTGCTTGTGAATGTTGCCTCTGTTGGTTATGCTACCTGTGTTTTGTTCTTCTTAGATAAAGATCCCTATAGTTTTGGAAGAACAACTATAGTGAACTTACAAATTGGGTAAGTGAATCTTGCAGAATACTTTTATGCTTATGTCTGTTTCCTGCCATAGTCTCTAAATGCATGAATTGATACTGCAGCATGGCTCGTGGGGTAGGAATTATTTATTCATGCTTTATCATCTGAAACTGGGATACATTCTGCTTCAGGCTATGCAGTTATGGTGCCGAAAAGAAATCTGGAGACTTAACTTCTACTTTCAGCTCTTCTCTCACCACATTTCTCTTTAGCTAATGACTGCACATCTAGTGATATTCTTTTCAGAAATTTCAACATTAAAATAAACCATACTTCAGAAGGAAAGCTGACAGCTTTACTAGAATGTGTAGCTTGGATGTTTTAAATTCTCTTACATCATATGTGTGTGTGTGTATATTTCTCCCATCCTAGATTATGATTAAAATTACTTCTGTGTTTTAAAAACTGTAAAATAGTTGAGTTACAAAGCTGTACAATTTTTCTGTTTTATTACTTGCTACTATGTCGAATAGAGTTTCTGGCAATGCAGTGTTTTTTAACCCATGTTATGAGTCCTACTAGCTAGTGGGGATTATCTCTTAATTGTTTTTTATTATTATTATTATTTTTAATATGTAAAATAGGCGTCTATATTTTACGTTCTGATTATTAATGCTCTTCAAAAACCTGAAGAACTATTCACTGAACAGAACTTCTGTAAGCTTTGAGGAAGAGGGTATCAGAGAAGCAGTATTAACTCCTTGTATTAGGCTGTTTCCATTTTGAATAAGGATGTGTTCAAGTAGAGTTCAGTTATGCATTCAGTACAGTAAGTAATGAGGACAACAAAAAACATTTTGGCATACAGCACGGACATCTGAATAAGAAGGCTCAAGGCAAATGCTGCCTAAAAATGTCTGTGTTGTAGAATATCTCTTTTCTTTGTAGGTCTGTTACCCATAGAATGTTACGATAAGCAAGTAACACTAATGACAGCCCAAGGCATCTGAATAGGCATGACTGACCTCCAGTAACTACCCTTTTTCTTGTTTTGTGTTCAATGAGAGGTTCTGATGTGCTTACCATTTTGATGGTTGCTTGTATCGGTTGGACAATTAGTTCTTTGTGTTTCTCATATTCATAATATTTTGTCTGACAGTAATAATCTTCTTTGGCTGCACACGGTTTTTGCTGTTGTTTACTTGATTCTCACTGTTGTCTTCATGAAACATCACATGAAGTATGTCACATATAAAGAAGAAAACACAGTAAGTTTCTGCATTGGGGTAAAAAAAAAACAGACAGCATGTTTTCAGGTGGATAATGCTAAAAAAAAAGTATATTTCTAAGATGCCTCTTGCTTTCTAGAATGTGAAATAAGTGTGAAGGAATTAACTGAAAGGAAAGCTCAGTGAATTGTGAAAATGGATGGAGAGAAGGGAGTTGGGGAGGGATTTTGTGAAATCCTATTGTAACTTATTACCAATATAAAAGGTCAACATGGTGCTGTATTGAATAGATGTAGCTCCCATCAAAAGCAAAAATTCCTACCTTTTTTCCCCATTTACAACACACCGACTTGTGCCGCATCACTGCCTTCCTCATATTCTTTTTTCTTTCTTGATGTGGTTTCTCAAAATTTGAATTGCGTTTTCTCTTGCAGGTTAAGTGCACGTTGTTTGTAACTGGTCTTCCAAAAAATGCAAAAGAAGAGACAATACAAGGCCATTTCAGGCAAGTTTGGTACTTGAGTAGTATCATTAGGAACTGGAGATTTAAAATTGTCCAAGCAGAAATGTTGACTTCAGTACTGTTTAAAGTTCATATTATAGTATATGTCTTGTAAAAACATATCTTATGCCATGGGCAGAATTGAGAAAAGACTGTTACAATACAGTTAGTTAGCTGATCTTAAAATTACAAATCTAAGAAAGTGGCTGTGTATCCCCACTTTCCATTCATGCTCCCACATGGCATTTACTTGGGAATAATGCTGCATCTCATAATAAAGGAACTTTTAGCAACTGCCTCTCTGTAAGTCATTCAAAAATAAGTGATTTAGATGTCAATTAGACATCAGTGGTGTTCTTTGAAACAAGTTTCTTCAGTGTACTCTCTGTTCTTATGTACTGTGTCCTTTTCAGTGCTGCCTACCCAACCTGCACAGTGCTGGAGGTCCAGCTGTGCTATGATGTAGCCAAGCTTATTTATCTCTTCAAAAAAAGGTACTTGTTTTTGTAATCTATCCAAATTTAGCTCATTTTGTGAATACTTTGCCAGTTCTTAATCAACATATACTAGTAGTATGAGGCTAGCACATACTAGAAATTAATTCTGCTCTTAAAGTACTGGCGTGGAGTTAGGTTTGATTCAGCTGTCTTTTAAGGTGAGTTGTGAGGTTCAGCCTGTTTCTTGTAGGTGTGATACATTTTGGGTTGCATAAGATAGATTTCACTTGTTGATTTTTTAATGTATGTATCTATTGAATGATTTTCAGGGAGTGCAAAGTAGAATACCAAGCTGTTGAATTAATAACTCTGGAACCCTGCTTCTTTGGCCAAAGGTGCTGGTTACAAAAAGGTGTTTCTTTCAAAACTGTACCATTGTTGTTTTTTTCCTGGAACTTCACTATGAGTGCAGACTGTGTAATGCTGTTAGAGACCTTAAAAAATTCTACTAAGTAGCCAAAACATTATATTTGAATATCTATGGTGACTGATTAGTTTGTTATCAGTTGTCGACATAACAATTCTTCTTAAGATTGATATTGATACTGTTTGTTTGGGTTTTTTTGCAAAATTTTCATCCATGTGTTTTTCCATGCAGAAAACAGGCAGAAAAAAGCCTGACTTATTATGAACACCTGCATCAGAAGTATGGCAAGCGGGTCCAAATCAACCCTAAGCCATGTGGTCAATTCTGTTGTTGTGAAATGAGAGGATGTGAAAGGGTAAGACATTGTGTTCATTTGTAGTCATGGCTAGCTAGATTGTTAGTAGAACAGAGAATACCTCCTGTGTGACATCTTGTTTAACTTCAGAAAATTCTTTACTAATTTATTGCAGATAACTCATCCTTCATGTTCTTGCACTTCACAGAAAATTCCTCAAAACTTTAAAAATTTAATTCTTAGTGTAAAAATTGAAGTACATGGAAAACTTCCTATTTATTTGTCTTTGCATTGCAATGATGAATTGTAATTTGTGGAAGTAGTATGAGGAAGAAAAGACTGGTTTTGTAAGCTGTATTTTAATCAAGATATCAGCCATCTGAAACTTGGATGTAACAGTCATCAATTTCCTGACAGGAGGATGCTGTAGATTATTACACCAAAGTTAGAAATGAACTGATGGAAGAATATTTAAAAGAGGAACAAGCTGTTCATAACAACCCACTGGGAATGGCATTTGTAACATTTCAAGAGAAGTCCATGGCAACCTAGTAAGTCTGCTGTCTTGTTTGTTCTCTTTTAACTACAGTAGTACAACTAATCTGTTTGTGTCGCTTGTTTGCTTATGTTGGTTCTTCTTCCTTTCTTCTCCTTCACCATCCCGTGGATTTGGTCTGTTTTGTTTTCTGGTAAGTTTTCCAGTAAGCATGCATTTAGTCTATGTGCTTTGAGCTAAGGAAATATCTAAAGGACTAAGTGGGCGTGAACGATTATTGGAATAAGGAGCCTTTCTATTCTGTGTGGGATCCAGTCTATCAGTGAAAGTTAATAGTAAGCCAGACTAATTTGCTTTTGAATGAGTTGCTAATTTCTCTGTTTTCTACTGTGCGAATTGTCCAATTACCTAAATATCACAGTGAGTGCAGATTACACTGCTGTTCAGTTATCAGCAAAGTGAAGTCAATGATGTAGACATTATGTATCTTTCTTACCTGTTGTTAGAAGTATGTGTAGGCCTAATATCAGAAATTATTCATCGCTTTTTACTCAGTCATTTGTAGAGAATCAATGCATGTAGCCTATTATTTTACATTGGTACCTCGTGAGATGAGCGTTTTTACTAACATCAAGTGGGTGAAGGGAAGCAGGATAATATTTGTATTACAAAAATAACACATTGTGCTTTTTAAATTCTTCATAACCTCTCTGATTTAAATTTTCTGCATTCCTTTGATCTTCAAGACATGTTAGAGAGCCAGTCTTTCAGGCTTTTTTTTCCCCCATGAAGTCCAGGGTATTGAATTCCTTGCAAGAATTTGAAATGCTGAAGAAAGTTTTGCTTGCTGTTCTCTGAGTAGTGAATATACGGTGAGATCTGCCTCCCTCCTATTGTTGTGATGTTGCACACCATCTTTATGGATGTGAAACTGCAAGAAGAAATAAGCACTGAAGTTCCTTCTCTAGCTACTGATTTGTCAAATAAAATTTTGATGGGATAGTCTCCTCTTGGGCATGTGTTCTGAGCTGCACTGCAGGCATCTCTGAGTTGAAGTATGTAGAACTTGAAAAGATTGTAGTTTGTGGGAGCTTGGAATTGATGCAGTGAACTCTATTCTCTGGAAAATTAGATTAGGTTTTATGTGAAGCTGATGCTGCTATGAATTTTTTTTAGACCCTTAAAATAGAATGGGAGAAACAGGAAGCCCAGGACTGAGGTTTGTGAAGTTGGGTGGTTGTAGAAGCTTGTTTAATGATGGTGCTCGGTAGTATGTCTGGTGCTAAAGCTTGCTTTGTTTGTATTCTTAAAAATAAACTGTCAAAATATAGCTAACTTTCTTAAACACTTGCTGCTGCATGATGCTGACAATTCAACCTCAGTACCTGAATTCTGGTAAGGTAAGATCAGGGTTTTGGGGGTTATTATTTTTTTTTTTTTTTATTGATTTGTGGTTGTGGTTCCCTGTTTTCTTTATTTTAAGAGCATACTGAGAAACAAATGTGTTCAGGAATGTATATATAAAATATATACTGTTACCATGCTAGTGTACTAGAGCTAGCTGGAGTGGAACTTCTTTTGCACAGTAACACACACACACAGTAGTATTGTCTCTGAATATATACTTATTATGTCTATTGTGATTTGAGAAATCTTTGGAAGCATTTATTCTGGACATGTTTAAATTTTATTTTATGGATGTGAAACTGCAAGAAGAAATAAGCACTGCAGTTCATTGAAGTACGTTGATTGCCAATCAACTCATAATACTAGAAGATAAAGTTAAGTGTTGAGATTATTTTAAGAGTAGGTGGAAGAGGGTAGTATTTTCAATTGCAGGAGTACTAGCATGGTAAACATTTTTCTGAGAATTGGTACTCAAGTCAAAATTTTTTTTTATACTAATGTAATGAAATGAGTGCAGACTAATCCTTTAGTCTGCTTTGATTTGAAAACAACTGTACTTATGTAAGGAGGTGTTTGGGGAACTGGTTGTCTTTATTTTTATTTTTTTTCCAGTGTTTTCAGGCTTTAATTTTTTAATCTATTCTTAAATACTAATCACTGCTGTTGTTCTGTGCTGCTGCACTAAGCAGTTCAAACCAAGACTGTTTTTTGTTCCTAAGTTTATCAGATCTCAAAGACCTGTAGTAGTGTTTATATTATGGTCATTACATGCATAATATGTTACATTCTTGTTGAATTATACTTTTGATGTCTGGTTATTAAAAGCAAAAAAGCCCTGTATCACTATTCACAGTCTTTCTCATGAGACATATAGCATTTTCAGGTGTAAAAATTTGGAAAAATACTCTTCCTTTTTTTCTTCCTTACAGTATCCTTAAGGATTTCAATGCCTGCAAATGTCAGAGTATTAAGTGTAAAGGAGAACCACAGCCATCATCCTACAGCAAGGAGTTGTGCGTATCAAACTGGGAGGTTACATATGCTCCTTATCCTGAGAATATTTGCTGGTAAGATGCCTGTCTTAGAGCCATTTATTTATGATAATGTAGGTTTAGAATGGGGACAGGCAAAGGGGGCTGAGTGCATTTTTCTTTAAGACTTTATGTAGCATTTGGGCATGGATGATCTGCATCTTTACTTCCATTACTGATGTTCTTCATTGACCTTGGGAAGGCCTCTCAGAGGCTGACTAGAATTTTGTCACCCTGAAATTCTGGTACCTGCAGTTACTGTTAAATTTTATATACACACATATGCATATATATAAATAAGGAAAAAAACCAGTTTATTAATGGCTGTGCCCCAGTGTTTCCATTTTTTGAGGTTAGTTTGTATCTGCTGTTGAGATCAGAGGAAAGCAGCTTTGTGTTAGTGCTGAGTATTATCCAAATATGTTTGGGTTTTGGGGTGCTTTATAGAGTTGCCACATGATCCGCTCTATGAACCATGGTCTGTCTGTCTTCTAACATTTATTGACCCACTAAATTCCTCAGAATTTACCCATTGCTTACAGGACAGAGTCAGAAAATAGATACTTTTTGAATTGAACTGTTTCTATACTTCTGTCATGCTTATAGGCTAAAAATGACTAAAAATTTTGCAATCACTTTGCAAATAATTTAGGGTTGGGTCAGTATAATCCCCTGTCCGTATAACAGTGAACTTCTTGTGACATTTCCATTGCCCAAACCAAAACTGCAGGTGAGGCACAAACATACAGAACTTAGTGTAGTGCACCTGTATGTAATTTTTTTAAAGTACACTTTTTTCCCCTCATGATTTTAGTAGAAAAATAATTTTAAGGTGATGATGCCATCTATTTCTAATAATTGAGAAGTTTTATCTAGAACTACCCTTCCACAGTTGGATCTTTAACCATAAAGCAAGCAGCCATGATTGTTAGCTGTGTCTTTTGCAGCTGTGTTATTTTGAGACTTGAATTAAAAATCTCTTGCAAAATGCTTGCCCAGTAGGGTCAGCTTAATCTGCCTTTTTCATTAAGGGTTTCTGGCATGCATGTCTGCTTCATTTCCTCTTCCTTTTTTCAAGCACTGTCATATGGATTTTAGGAAATGACGAGACTCAGTGGGTTGAAGCACTTGGAAAGCTTTTCTAAACATCTTTGAGACGGGAAGATAGCAGGGTTTTGTTGTTTGGGTTTTTTCCCCTGTTCTTTTTCTTTTCTCCCCTCCCCATTGAAGAAAAGGAGGCACAGGGATTTGCCAAGATTACTACCTAGGTTCACAAATGTTGTAATTTGGAATGTTCCTGAGCCTCTGTATCCCTGTTTTGTCTGTTCTAAATACTTGGCTTTGGCTGGGGTTCAGGTCATTGCAGTCCTTGTGGGAACCATTTCAAATAACCTGTTTAAAACCTATGATTGCTGTTTTAATATGGCAGGAAGGGATTCACAGGGGTTTTTTTTATTATTTTTTTCAAATCACAGTTTATTGGGAGATGCTGGCTCTAATAGCTATTCTCCTTGCAGAAGTTCTGTTTATCTTCTTCTATCTCTGTCTCTTCTTGTTCTAACTTTGCTTAGTACTTCCATATTATTAAACACTGGAATTGTTTTATCCCAGACCATAACTACATTAGACACGGTGTTAGGAAGGCTAAATATGTTCTTTAGCAAGTGCCGTTTATTTTATCATTCAAGAAAAGTTGCAGAGTTTTCTTTATTTCTAATAGCAACTGGAACGTGTGTGGTGCTTTTTTATATAGCTTCATATAGACTGTGAAAGCTCAGTTCAGAAAAAGCAGTTCCACCTGTTACTTGACAGATAGTATGTATTTTTTTAACAGCAAATGATTACTTCTTGCATTTATGTCCTTTTTATATATATTTTTTTTTTTTTTTCAGGAAAAATCTTTCCGTGCGTGGACTGAAATGGTGGTTTAGATGGGCTTGCATTAATTTGCTTCTTTTTATTGTGCTATTTTTTCTTACCACTCCTTCCATAATAATTTCAACCATGGACAAGTTCAATGTCACGAAACCTATTCACTACCTTAATGTGAGTATCATCTGATGTTTGGAGGCAGCTGTTTATCAGGTGTAGGTAAACTGACAGGTGTATAGTAAGACAATGAAACAATGTTTATAAGCTAAATTCTGTTGAAATTCTCAGGATTGTTTTAAATTAACTACTGATTAAAAAGCATACCAGAATCAGGTCTTTATTCCTCTTTTGTGCCGTGATAGTATGCTGAAGAAATTTAATCTGAAGCTTTATATTATTATAAAGGTCTTATTTATTTGTAGTAAAAATTTTGTATTCTAAGTTTACATAATTTTAGAGTCTGTAATTGAAAAACCCTTGGCCAGAAATGAAATTACAAATCCAACTTGTATTTTGATTTTAGGATGGGAAGTGAGGAATTAGGATTTTAAGCTCTGGAGTAAAATGCCATGGTTTTACTTTGCTTATTGGATTCAGAACAGGATGGCATATATATCTGCTCCTAGTTTGAATGCATCTAAAGTCTCATGCAAACTGTTTATTACAAATGTTTCCCAAGCTGCAGTGTGAACTACATAAATGCTACTTCTGAACCTTCACTCTCATGGAATTAAATTCTAAATCCTATTCATGTTTATTTGTCATGCTCACCAGTGTTGAGCATTCAGTCATTTTAAGACTGTATCTGAATATAATTTCCACGCTCCAACCTGCTACAATTTACAAAAAGCAAAATATTGCAGCTTCTGTTCTACCACAGCTACATTACAATGTTTCTAATGCTTTTTTTTTTTTTTCTCCCACTAGAATCCCATCGTCAGTCAGTTTTTCCCGACACTCTTGCTCTGGTCCTTTTCAGCTTTGCTGCCAACAATTGTCTATTACTCAACCTTGCTGGAGTCCCACTGGACAAAGTAAGCAAGATTTTCCCCTGTTTTGGCCTTATCAGCTGAATAAAATGAATTGAGAAAGTGCTTATCTTTCATGGAGCTTATAAATCTGCAGACCTCTCATAGCAGGGATTATCATGTGTCATCCCTTTCTAATGTTATAAGCAAGACACAGCAAGTGTAATCTGAATGCATGGTTTGCTTGTGCTCCCACCCCTCTCTCCTCCTGCCTCTTGGTGTATAATCAGAAAAAAAAAAAAATGTATAGGCAGACTCGGGGCAATCCTGAGCATACAGAGTGCCTCTAATCCCATAACTAGTTTGTTCTCTGGGAAGATGTGAGGTGGGGGCCTGGATCCCCTCCAAGCTGAGAACATCACACGACCCCAGAATCCCACTTCAATAAAGGTGCTCCAACTACTGGCATGTTACTTACAAAAAAGGCATCCAGTTTTGTTGTTGTTGTTTTGTGGGGAAAAAAAAAAATAGTCTCTGTGTAACTCTTTGGACACATCTCAGTTGCTGTTTGATATTGTTAGTGGTGGTCTGAGAAGACCTATGGGACCAAGGCCCAGCAGATGTGTTGATGCAAGGTTTCGGGTACAACCAGTGCGCTGCAGAGCAGCACGTCACTGTGCTTAACATCTAACTTGGAGAACTTGGCACAGCTTGGTTTGGCATACCTGATTTCACTCCCAGTTTGCCTATAGTCAGTTAAGAGATACTGCACACCGAATCCTGGCTTCAGTCAGTCTTTTTCCTTAATGCATGTAGCTGTTTTTTGTTTGTTCTTGTATTTTAAGGTAATTTTTTTTTTCTTTTCTTGTGCCAGTCCCTTATAAAAAATCATGTCCAGAATATACTGTTTATTCAAGTTGTATGCTTTTCATAAACTTTTTTTGTAATTGTACTAGGCATATGAACTTTGAGCTCTTCTCAATCAGTTTAAATAGTTTTCTAAAGTCCTTGCTGATCACAGATCAGATTTCAAGCCTTGGTATAGTTACACTGATATGTCCCACCAGTGCCCAAGGGTTGTGTGATCCTGTAATAAAACCTCTGTGGTTTTAATGCCCTATCAGATGCCACCTTTAACAGTCTGAATTGTTTATAGCACTCAGTTTTCTGGCAACAGTGTGTCATAAGATAGATGTTCCTGCTACTGTAGTAGGAGTATAGCATTAGTAGTGTCATGTTGTTCCCGAAGACTTGACACTTGGCAAGGACAGCTGAGTCGCTTGTTTAAGTGTCTGGCTTCTTGGCAGTGTTGCCTTTTTACAAACTGCATGATCCCTTTTGGCCTAACACTTAAAGAGCTGTTTGTTTACAAGCTGTTGTAAAACAGTATCATTGGATGCAAGACCAGGTGTGGTTTGTTGCACATCCTCCTGGTGCGCTGGTGGTGCGGACCCGTAGTGATGCTAATCCAGACTCTGGAAAACAGTTCAGAAGTGTTTTCTTTGCCCAAGAAGACACTTAGAGCCTGTGTGATCCTCATTAGTGACTATTTCAAAGATGTTTGTTGTGTATCTTGTAGCAATGTGATGTGGTAGGGGAAGCTGGAAGTCTGATGGATGCTGACATTCTCTGGGCAAAAGCCTTAATGTGTGGAAGTCTTTCATATGAGTTTCTTACTCAGTGACTTTTTATGTTGGTAGATCTGCAGAGAACAGAATAATGATGCATAAAGTCTACATATTTTTGATCTTCATGGTATTGATTCTGCCCTCCCTTGGTCTGACCAGGTAAACAATTGTAGTCTAACCACGTGATGTATTGCATGAGAGGACTTTTTTCTGGTTGCTAGTTTAAGTATAGTTGGTGTATCCCCACTACCTCCAGTGTATATGATTATATTGTAATTGTGCTGTATATTTCAATTATATAATATTTCAGTGCTCATCTCTCATCTGAGAACCTCATAGCCCTTAAAGTTTCCAAAGTCTGTTTTTTCTTTTAGCAACAGAATTTAAGATCTTCTGAGGTCAATGACTGATTGAAAGCTGCCCATACTCAGCATCATACCTGAGAACTGTCTTCTTCAGTTATAGTTATCCTTTTCTTTCTCTGCTTTCTTTTCACCTTTACACTATTTGACCATTTCCCTTGCTGACTGGGTCATGTGTATCCTGTCTGTATACTGCTGAAAATGTGTTTGTGTTTTATTTAATTCTGCATCTTTTTTCCTACTTCTGACTATCAGTGATGAAGCTAAAGTAGTGTTCACAGTATCATAGAATGGTTTGGGTTGGAATGGAAGGGACCTTGAAGATCATCTAGTTCCAATCCCCCTGCCTTGGGCAGGGACACCCCCCACTCGCTGGTGGTGCGGACCCGTAGTGATGCTAATCCAGACTCTGGAAAACAGTTCAGAAGTGTTTTCTTTGCCCAAGAAGACACTTAGAGCCTGTGTGATCCTCATTAGTGACTATTTCAAAGATGTTTGTTGTGTATCTTGTAGCAATGTGATGTGGTAGGGGAAGCTGGAAGTCTGATGGATGCTGACATTCTCTGGGCAAAAGCCTTAATGTGTGGAAGTCTTTCATATGAGTTTCTTACTCAGTGACTTTTTATGTTGGTAGATCTGCAGAGAACAGAATAATGATGCATAAAGTCTACATATTTTTGATCTTCATGGTATTGATTCTGCCCTCCCTTGGTCTGACCAGGTAAACAATTGTAGTCTAACCACGTGATGTATTGCATGAGAGGACTTTTTTCTGGTTGCTAGTTTAAGTATAGTTGGTGTATCCCCACTACCTCCAGTGTATATGATTATATTGTAATTGTGCTGTATATTTCAATTATATAATATTTCAGTGCTCATCTCTCATCTGAGAACCTCATAGCCCTTAAAGTTTCCAAAGTCTGTTTTTTCTTTTAGCAACAGAATTTAAGATCTTCTGAGGTCAATGACTGATTGAAAGCTGCCCATACTCAGCATCATACCTGAGAACTGTCTTCTTCAGTTATAGTTATCCTTTTCTTTCTCTGCTTTCTTTTCACCTTTACACTATTTGACCATTTCCCTTGCTGACTGGGTCATGTGTATCCTGTCTGTATACTGCTGAAAATGTGTTTGTGTTTTATTTAATTCTGCATCTTTTTTCCTACTTCTGACTATCAGTGATGAAGCTAAAGTAGTGTTCACAGTATCATAGAATGGTTTGGGTTGGAATGGAAGGGACCTTGAAGATCATCTAGTTCCAATCCCCCTGCCTTGGGCAGGGACACCCCCCACTAGACCAGGTTGCTCAGAGCCCTATCCAACTTGGCCTTGAACATTTCCAAGGGCGGGCATCCACAGTTTCCCTGGGCAACCTGTTCCAGTGTCACCACCCTCCCAGTGAAGAATTTCTTTCTAATGTCTAAGTTAAATCTGCCCTCATCCTATCACTACCCGCCCTTGTAAAAAGTATCTCTCCAGTTATTCTGTGTGTGGGCCCACTTTAGGCACTGGAAGGTGTTCAGATTATTTGATTAAATTCTCTCTGTCCAGATCCAAACTAGTTAGAGATGCAATTTTAAACAGTACTAAACTGTTGGAGACTGAATTACGTTAACCATCTCTCTTTCAGCCTTGATTTTTTTTTCCGTTGGCTGTTTGACAGAGAATCCTCTGATTCTGCAGTCAGGCTGGAGTAAGTATTAGCAGCTCTTTGCTGTTGACTAACCTTGTTAGCGTTAAAATTTGCTCAGGCATAGTACTCTGTGGGCTGATATTGAGCTGAATAAGGGGGGAAAATGCAAATGATTTTACTATCAAGAAATCTATACTTTTCTCCTGCTAGCTAATGTGTGCAAACATTCAATAAAGAGTTATTTTCCCCAAACCTTACAAATATTGCAGAAGACAAGGAAGGTCAGTATTATATACTGCAGGTGAGAACCAGAAAATATACTTAGGATTGATTGTTGCATATCATGGACAGGGGATCTTCCCAAAGATTACTGTGAGACCAAATAGCGGCAGCAGTTCTCTTTCTGAGATCTGTTGACTTTTGAGTTTAAGAAACATGAATTTTTTTAAACCAGCATTGCAGATTTGCAGATACTGGTTACTATAAGCTCTTGTGGCTGGAGGGAAAGCATAGAATGCAATTATTAGGACATAGTTATGTCTCCAAATGCTGTTTCAAAATCAGTAACAAGAAGACAATTAGGAGTTACTACGCTAGGAGAGACAATTGCTCTGTAGCAGTCTTATGTCAGGTTGCTGTTGCAGACATCCAAGGATGCTCTCATCTGCTATCAGCCACCCATCAGACTGCTGTATCTTTTTGTGAACAGTGGAATACCTTATCTGAACTGCAACACAACCAGGCTCTTAGAGTACAGTACACTTGCTGCATTTATAGCCACATAGTACTCTTTTTCAACAACATTAAAAGTCTTCTAGCCACTCATGGTGTCCAGTGTTTATCCTTATGGTAAGAAATTACCAAAGGCAATAGGATGCATTGTATATATGCTGTATTTGCTTGTTTGCTTTCCAGTCAGTGTCTGATGTATTTTCTTGCAGATGTGTTTTTTTGCCTGACCAGGGAGCTTTCTTTGTGAATTATGTGATTGCCTCTGCTTTCATTGGCAATGGGATGGAGCTGCTTCGCCTGCCTGGCCTCATCCTTTATACTATACGCATGATAATGGCAAAGTCCACAGCAGAAAGGAAAAATATTAAACAGGTATAAGAGCCCTTCTTAGCAAGAGGTGATGAAATGATTGGTCTTTATCAGAAACAGTGGGAGGTCCCCATCCTTCATTCCATTAACTATCATCTCCTGTCTCTTTTTTTTTTTTTTGGTGCCTTTTTTTTTTTTCTCTCATCCATGACAAGTTCATATTCCCTTAATCTGCAGCACAGATAATGGGAAGGTATTTATTCAAGTCAGAGACAGACAAAATTCAAAATCCAGGTTCTGAACTTCAGGCATTGTTCTCTTCATAGCTCCAAGTCAGAGTTTTATTATTTTGATTTTTATAGGATAATTCTGATTTTTTCTTATAATCTAAACTTCAGGTTTTTTTAATTCCATTTTAAATTGTGGACTTTCACTTCCAGAGGATGTGTGTTGTCTTGCAGCTTGAAATTCCAGGTGTTACAATGGGAACTTAAGCCTGTATGTAGCTGTCCCTGTTCTTTTTTTTTTTTTTTTTTTTTCCCGTTTTTATGGCTGGGTGGGCTAAATTTTTAAAAGCTTCTTAACTGTTGCATATTACTCCTTGCTCTGGTTGAAATTATTTATATTTCTTTCATCATCACAAAATGAAAAAGAGGGAATACTGACCACACCTTGGATATCTTGAGCTTTCCCTACTGGGCAAGTCAGTACTAGGAAAATTGCAGATTCAGTGGAATCTTGCAGTGAGATAAGGGTTTTGAGTTTAGCACAATTATTTTCTGCCTTATGATTTTAAGTAGTTGCCTCTTGTTCGTGAAAAGAGATTCCCTGAGAAATTACTTTAAGGCTATGAAAGAAGCAGTGTATTTTCTGTAAGTACTGATGCTTAGGACAGATAATACTTCATATCTCCAATTACATTATTAGGGAAATAACTGACCTCTTGAAGGAAGAGAATAAAATAAGGTGAATTGTTGCTTTAGTGAATCTATTCTTAGCTCCTGACACACTGATAGATGACACGAGAGTTTGTGGTTTTTGATTTTGGTGTTGTTTTTTTTCCCTAGCAACAAGCATTTGAATATGAATTTGGAGCAATGTATGCCTGGATGTTATGCGTATTCACTGTCATCATGGCCTATAGCATTACATGTCCCATCATTGTCCCATTTGGTAGGTTTTCTGATGAGTTGTGGGCACTGTGTGAGCAAGATGGGGACATATGGGAGGTTTGGAAGGCCCAGTTCTGCCTTCTTGTTCCAGTTGGGATGCTTCTAATACTTCGGGCTTGGGTCCAGCTTTCTTGCCCTACTTGTGGAAAAGCAGAGCAGAAGGTGGTTAATTACTTGGCTCTTTTACTGCCTTTAGAAGTATATTTGAAAGTATCTTTAATATCTATTAGATGCTTATTTTATTTCTCAACTTTGAGTGTATTAGCTTTGGTGGTTGTTTTTAATAGTAAAGTGTAGGAGCTTGGGTAGGTTTGGGGATGAAGAGATTATTTTTATCTCTGGGTTCTTGAGGTCAGGCTTGACTTGAGACATTCTGATCCCCAAATCCTGTAGGTAGATGAGAAAGAACTTTTGTCCTAAAGTTTGACTGAAGTATGTAAAATGAAGCACAAAAATAAGTGTGTTGATCCAGTAGCAAGAGACTGGAAAGCTATCTATCCTTTTCACTACTGCAGCTCTTCTGCACTGCAAACCATTTATCTCAAATTCCATATCCTGAATGAGTAAAAGAGCTGTAGTCCTCACTGAGCTATGGACAGCTGTGGGCTCTGTGGTTCTAACCCCAGGGTTGTGACCTAACAATGTGCTGACCACTTTGTTGGGACATGACCTTGGTGAACACCATAGCTGCCTTTTGACAGAAAAGGAAATGCTCCGTACTGTGGTGGATTTACTGGCTTGGAAAACCAGTTAACTCAGAGTTCAGGACGTGTAGGTGCAGAACAGCTGCCCTGTGGTGTAAATGGAGCTGCAGTACTGACCCTGAGAAGGTCTCCAGGTTTCTGAGTCACAGACCTCCTTTTTTTAGGATGTTTCTCTTTGTTCAGTTGGTTTATCTCTGTCCTGTGAACAAAACTTTACATTTCTGCCTTAAGTTGCCTGTATATGTGACTTTTGACTACTTTCCTCTTCCTGTACGAGCCATTAAATCCTGTATGGGTGTGCAAGAAACTTAGTGATCTGTTTAGAACCCATGGGCAGTTGTCCATTTTCAGTGACTGTGACATGATCTACATCTTACTTTATTGCATCTTTTGTTCACAGAGATTCTGGACTGTAAGAATTACGTAGAAATAATAATTTCAGCAGCTACAGATATTTCCACTCTGGAAACCTGTTTATCAGAGCATAAGTGGTACTGAATCATTTTATATAGTTAGTATTTTCCTTTTCTAATCCAGCATTTTAGAGAGCTAGGTACAATATAATTAGCTAAAGTAGATGCTATTCAGGTTTCAGTCAATAACCTTATTATTTTGGAGAATGTGGCCAATTTTTTGGTAACAATGTACTTGGTATTTGTTTACATTTCATTTTGTGTGCAGTTGTATTTATCTGAATGAGCCTACTGCATACCAGAGCTGTTGCAATTCCTAGCTGTTGCAGCAGTAGCTGGCTTTTTTTTTTTTTTTTTGAGAGAAGAAATAGCTGATTTGAAATCCAGTCATGAAACTATTGAAGGATGAGGGAGTGACCCTGAGCTACTGTTTGACCTTTCTTCCTTACCAATACAGTGGTGGGGCAGTTACCAAGACTTCCCTATTGGCTTGGCCTTATGTGCCAGCACTAGGAAGGGAGCTCTGGCTCTCTCTGGGAGCACCAGTGGTGCCACAGAGAAGTGTGTGGAGATGGGGAGGGATGGGGGCACCCCAGGGATCTTGGGCTTTGGGGGGAGACAGTCTTAGGAGCAGGCTGCTGTCATGCAGCTGTACCCCCTTTGTATTTGGCCTATATCCACCATTGGTATGTTAGACTTTGAGCGACTTGGTTAGTGTAGATCATCTCACAGAGTTGCTGCTTTTTATCAAGTGTTTAGCTGTCCTTTTTTCCCTTCCAGGGTTAATATACATACTCCTTAAGCACATGGTTGACCGTTATAACCTTTACTATGCGTATCTCCCTGCCAAGCTGGAGAAGAAGATGCACTTTGCAGCTGTGAATCAAGCCCTTGCAGCTCCAATTCTCTGCCTTTTCTGGCTCTATTTTTTCTCATTTTTGCGGCTAGGTAAGTATTACTTTTTCCCACCTAGAAGTTGCTCCTGCCTCTCTTGCCAGCTTACCTAAATTACATGTGCAGCCTCATAGGCTTTGTGGGTTTTTCTTTTTGCTTCCATAAATTGTAAGCCATGGTGGTTACCTGTGGCAACAACCTGCTACAACGTTTGCAGCTTACACAAGTTTGCATAGGATCAGATGGAGGTGGCTTATAGGTTAACTTAAAACTGTTAGCATGGAGCTTTATGTCTTCATTTTACAGGAGATCATATGTTCCCTAAATCTGTAAACATTGAATTGGCCAGTTGGACTGCAGAATGACAGACAGTAAAAACCATTAAATAAAAAAAATAATCTATATTTAGATGCTCTTTCTATAGTAAGATGGTCTCTGCATTTCTGTAGTCTGTGAAAGCGTTTAATTTGCCTGGGTGAATAGGCTACTGCCTTTGTTGTACATCTATAATTTAAAAAAAACCTGTTAAAACGTTTGCTAATGCTACAAAGACTTGTGTTCTGTATCATTTGTCAAACTTTACATGGAAGACTGCAGTGAGATGGTGATGCTTCTCCCCATATTGAAATTTAAAAGCTCAGGTTTTGTGTGTAATTTATTTAAAAAATAGGGATGTTCTGTATCTTGCAAATACTTGGCATTGTTAGTATTGGCTGTGGTGTACTAACAAAAGGTAGGCAGTAACTTATGGCTTTGTGTCTGTGCAATAGGAGGAAGCATTTGGCATGGAACAAGGATGCCAGCCAGTGATACTGGAAAGAATTAAGTTTCCCTTCTTGGGAAGGAGGCCCTTGGTATCTAACTGTATTTTGTCCTCCTCTCTGATTTCACATCACTGCTAACAAATGCCCATGTTTACACTGTGTTTTTCTAGCATACTAGTAGTAAAAAAAGATACTGCTGGCAGACTCTGATCTGACTTTAGAGAGAGCTCCCTGTGGATGCACTTTGAACAATTGTTTCAAGCTGATTTTGGGTTTGAGCAGATGTCGCTGCGTTACCTATATGTTTGTTTGAGAGCTTGTCATTGCAACCAGAAAAACAACAAATCTTTCTGTGTCTGAAGAACTCACCTTTCAGCCTTGTTCATGTTTACTCATTTTCTTATCTTGTTCCTTTTCCTTTGGTTCTTCCCAATTCTTTGTGTATTTTGTCATGGTGTCCTACACAGACAAGGCTGCTGAAATTGAAGGCTGAGTAGAACCAGATTACTTTGTATGGGTACCAGCAACTTGCCTTTTTTTTTTTTTTTTTCTTCCTGTATTTTGACACTATCACACTATTGACTGCTTTCCAACTTGTAATAATCAGTTGTATGCTGCAGTGCTACAGGCTTCTAATTCTATTTTTTGGGCTTTTTCCTTGAAAGATGGTGGGTTCATCTAATCCATAAAGGCAATTTTTGTTATTTTTTTCCTTTGGGTTGTTTGCAAGCTGTCTAGTTTGGTGCCATCATCATATTTAACAAATGAACTCTGTTAAGTTTCACAGATCATTAATGAAAGTATTTTAGAAGTGGGTCCAGAATAGAGCACTGAGGGAGGATGAGAAGAACTGCTCTGAGTCTTGTTTTTCATTCAAGTATTGCAACCACCTTTTTTGGTGTTCATGGAAGCTGAGAGAACAGCTGGCTCACCAGCTCTTACCAGTCAACAAGATTTGTGTGTAACAAGGTTCTCCTGTTTATGGCTTACAGTAGCATGCTCAGTCCTCTAAGGAAGACAAAAACACCAGAAACCAAAACCCAATCATGAGGTTTCTGAAAATGGGGAAGATAAAGGTTTGACTGTTGGTTGTTTTGTTTTTCTCCCTGCTACATATTTTTATATTATATTTTCTGAATATTTTTCTAGGCTTTAAAGCACCTACAACCATGTTTACCTTCCTAGTTGTCAACATCACAATTGTTATTTGCTTGGCTTATACTTGTTTTGGCTGTTTCAAGTACCTGAGCCCACTGAATTATAAGGTAAGTAATGGATACCTGACACCTTTTGGCACCTACCGGTGTTCTTGCTGTACCACCAGCTATTCACGTTGGGTTGTTTCTGCCTTCTTGCTGGCCACGTCTGTCCACAAAGGCTCGTTCTGGTAAGATGGCAGATGAGGGCTGGTAGTGGAGACTGACAGACTTTCCACAGTGGCAAGCAGCCTGTGTTGACAGGAACCGCATTTGCGAAGAAAGGGCAATATGGAAGAAGTATGCAAGAAGACTGGAGGAGAGAGTACCAGCACTGCATGGAGATTTGTCTGTGCAAGTTTTTGGGCACTTATGATCTCTGTATGTTGTTTTGACTTACCAATTTGATATTGTCTCTTTTCCTTTCTCCACACGTGACTGGTTACAGATTGAAGACCTGCAAGGTGAAAGAGGAAATGACACAGATGCACCAACCATCCCAGCATCTTCTGTAAGAAGTTAGGAGTTACTAATATTCTCTTAAGTTTCATAGAAAAAAATTCTCACCATGCTTACCAAAGAGCTTATGTAGGACATATTAGTCTGAGTGGACTATGGGACTTTGCAAATGTTCTGCAGTTGGGCTCCTTGACTGTTCCCAGGTGGTGTTCCAGAGGTACCTTCAGCTGATGTTTTGGGAGTAGTTGAGACATGCTACTTCCCGCAGCCCTGTATGCAGTGTTCTGGGCCTTATACCAGACAGATCCTCACATCTGGACGGCTGTCAGTTACCACTGCTTTGGGACTTCAAAAGTTGCGACATGTGCAGAAGGTCTTACCTGCCATGTCATTAAAAAGAAAGATGTAGGACTGAGGTACTGTTAGAGGTCTTTGTGCCACAGTCTGCAAGGACAGCTGAGCGTTGCACCAGGAAGCCTCTGTTAGGAAAGGCTGTAGGTGTTATGGTGAAGAATGGGAAATGGATGAAAAGAAGAGCAGCAAGGGGGAAAAAATTACCCTAGGAGAATTATCCTAGCATATACTTTAAGAGACTAGTAAAATCCTTAACACTTGTGTTTTCAGATGTATGTGCCCCGAGTTTTGCATCCTCATTCTACAGAAAGGACAATGCTCACCCCCAAGGAGCAGCAATCATATGGCACCATGGACAACAGTAGTGCACAGGCGGAAGTCATAAGCTATTCTGCTGGACCTGCAATTATTGAGCAGGCATCAAGAGGCTCGCTTTGAATGCCAAGGATTAACACAAGGTGGAGCACTTGGTCCAGGTTTAGGCGAACTAATCCCCACCACAATTTACTAAGTATTCTTTTATTTTAAGTATCCTGCCCACAGAAGAGGTGCAGAAGTAATTTACTGTATGGTCTGCAGCTGTGCTTGGAGATTAAGAAGCAGATGCCTTGGGACTGTTTTCCAGCTCTCTCTGCACACATTGTGAAAAAAACATGTTGAACACAGAGATGCTGATCCTCAGGGACTTAACTTAGGCTATCTCATCACTTGCCTTATGAAGATAACTTATGCTGCATATAGATAACCTGGTCACCAAAGTAAGTGCAGCTACTACAGCTGTCATTTATTCAAAATAATGCTTGCTTTTTTAAAAACAAAGCTTTAGGATTTATTAACATCTTGGGATGTGTTAAATCGTGAGGCAATGTCACTTTTTATGAAAATGCTGTTTGCACAGGTGCTGAGGATGGTGTGTGGGAAACTCTCCTCTTGTCACTGAAAGTGGTAGGTGTAGTCTTGATCATGTTATTTTTATCTTTTTTTTTCTTAAAATAGATGAGGGAGTTACTGTGTACTTGGGTACTAAAAGTATCAAAGCAAAAACCTGGTGTAAAGAAGGGAGTAATTTATCTCATACTGTTTTGGGTTTTTTGTTGTTGTTGTTGTTTGGTGTTTTTTTGTTGTGTTGTGTTTTTTTTTCTGGGGAGGCCATTTTGGTTGTTAGTTTCTGTTCACTATTCTTAAGAGCAATGAAAGTTCACCTGCCAATAATAAAAGATGTAAACATTTTATCTTTTTTTAAATCTTGGGTCAAAATGAGAGATCTCTGGGTTTTGTCTATAATGCCAATTCTGTGAGCTGCAAGAGACTAAGTTTTTAAATTATGTAGTGGGTGCCAATTTATTCCAATTGTGTCAAAGTGTAACTAACAATCATGAAGCAATAAAACACTGAATTCAAAGAAATTTTGGGCTTGATTGACTTTTTTCCTTTTATTTTTTTCCTTCTCTGTGTACTGGAACAGTTCTCTTGAACTATTCGTCTGAACTATTTATAAGAGCACTGTTATAAGACTTAGAATGTCCCATGAGAGATTTGAATACTTTTAAATTTCTCCAGGGAATGAATCTTGGAGACCTTAAAGTAGAGAAGGTTTGGGCCATTGCAAGCACTCTCTTTACCTGTTCACTATTAAACTCTCGGTTCCTGAGCTTAACCTGCTCTGTCTGTGAATCAGCAACATCTTGAGATTGGAGTAGGATTTGTGCCACAAATAAGTGTTTGCAGATGTTCAGTGTCTGGCAGGACTGCCTCCAGCCTCCCAAGACCAGCACTCTGGATGAATGCTGAGCAGGAGACCTGCCCTTCTGCAAGAAGGACCCGGCTGATAACCCTGATGACAAGCCCATCCTTTCAGTTGAAGGTACACGTGAATACTGGGTCTTAAAAGGCAAGTGAGAGGCTGTGTCTGGGAGGGGAAACGTGGATCTATGTCAGATTCATTTTAAACTCAAATCTGAAGTGAAAATATAGTCATGGGGTTGTGTGTGTGGGAATGTCTTGATTTTTAGCAATCATGGTATTCATAGAATCATAAAATCATAGAATGTCTTGGGTTAGAAGTGACCTCTAAAGTTCAAGTCCAACACCCCTACAATAAGCAGGGACATCTGTAACCAGACCAGATTGCTCAGAGCCCCATCAAGCCTGACCTTGAATGTCTCCAGGGATGGGACCTCCACCATCTCCCTAGGCAACCTGTTCCAGTGATCCACCACCCTCATATTAAAGAGCTTTTTCCTAATTTCAAACCAAAATCTACCCCTTTCTAGCTTAAAACCATTACCCCTTGTCCTATCATTACATGTTCTTGTGAGCAGTTCTTCCTCAGCCTTCTTAGAAGCCCCTTACAGGTATTGTAACGTGGCTATAAGATCTTCCTGCAGTCTTCTTCAGGCTGAACAACCCCAACTCCCTCAGCCTGTCTTCATAAGAGAGGTGCTCCAGCTCTCTGATCATTTTTGTTGCCTTCCTCTGGACACACTACACCTTCCAAACCTTCCACCTCTAACGCCTGCTCCCCCGGCTGTGTAACTGGCCCCTGGCTTGCACACACTTCCTCAACCCACAAAGGGAAGGCTCGGGCTCATAACCACCCTCTCTATTATTGTTTTCTTTCATACACGCATATTCCCTGGTGCATCTACAACATTTCTTTACACTCTCCACTGTTCTATTTGATATTTTAGTAAAAGTTAGAACTTGCCTCTGTGTATGTGTGTGTGTGTCTGTGCTTCCGAGAGGAGCTTATCAATCGGTTACATACCTGGTGGAAGCAAGCTGGTCCCAAGCCAGGGACAGACCCACCAAAATTATTAAAAGGCTATCCTGAATATATACTTGGTGTCAGAAAATCCTGATAAACAGGGCAATTGTGCCCTGGGACAAGGTGGCTTTGACCCAAACCAGGTTCAGACCATGACAAGTTCCTTCTTGCTTTTTAGTTTGGCCAGCAGGTCACAACTCAGCCCTGCTCGTCTCTTTCCTCCCCTATTTTATTTCTTGCACACAGGCATTGAGAGCTCTTCTGCTCTATGGAAAACATCCTTAAAGATCTGTTCTGTTCCCTTGTTCCTGAGGGCTCTTTCCCAGGGGGTCCTACTGACTAGCTCCTTGAGGAGCTGGAAGTTTGCTTTCCTAAAGTTGAGTCTTGACTACGCTCCTCACCTGACTCATATCCCTGAGAACTCTGAACTCCACCAGTGCATGGTCACCGCAGCCCAGGCTGCCTCTAATCTTGACATCCCTGATGAGCTCACCTGTGTTGGTGACCATCAGGTCCAGTATTACATCCCCTTGGCCAGGGCTATTTCCTGGCTTAAGAAATTGTCCTCAAGGTACTCCAGGAGTCTCCTGGCCTGCCTACATCTCACCATGTTACTTCTCCAGCAGATGTTGGGATCTTTTCCTGCAGGTGTGTTACTAGAGAGGGTATGAACACTGAATGTTGAGGGGATCTTTTAGCAATGATGGTGTTACTAGAGGTGGTGTGTGTACCTTGGATACCAACTGCCATTTAGGATTGGGATTGAAATAAAGACAAAAAAACCCAACAGACTTCATGTTTTTTACTTGTCTCTTAGTCTCTCAAACAGGCATGAGGACAGGAGGAGGACACAAAACCTGGTGTATTAATTGGATCTGTAACTCTTCTAACTCATTTTTAGCTGCAGTACCCCATCTCACACAGATGTCTGCAGAACCAGTGGACAATTATGTGTATACTGATTGAGGAACCAAATTAATTATTCAGCTACCACATCTGACCTGTTTACAGTGCCAGTACCGAGGGATTTTTATGCTCTGAGGTATAATTTACTGTTTTGAACAAGTGATTTCTGATACTGTGAGTTTCTATACGTCATATTAAGGATACAAACTTTCAGTGACTGGATTTCCTTTCTGTGCTTGGATTGCTGCTGAAC